ATCGACGCAAATGCTGTATTTACGTATTTTGGACAGGTTAGGAGCTCTGAAAATGCAGTTATTTCGTGTAGACAAGCCAAGCCAAAATGGGGCAGTAGATTTCTAAAAAGAGGACTCTCAACTGATGGTAAAATATGTAATGCCTCATAAGTCAAGACGGTAGAGCTCATTTCTACTACGAAACATTTACTAGATGATAAAAAATTTCTTGTGAATTTCTTGCGCAATGGATGTATAGTTTCTCATGGCGAGAAGTTTCGGTTTACAGTATCCGCCTGTTAAAGTTACTTGAGTTTTAGTATATACCGTAAAGTCGATTGCTGGAGTTATGTCTTTAATTAGGAATGCGTTTTGTGATCGAAACCCTAACAGCTATGTGATGAAGGTTCTGCCCCTTGTCTTGCGCTTAAAATTACAGAGCTTGCATACTTTACGCTTGCTTATTTGAGCAGCATCTCTAACTGATAAAGAACATGCAGCAACACAAAGCATCAATGGGACAAAACATATGTATATGAACGGTGTTTAGCCAGATTGAGCGTTGTTCCTAAATAAACTTCCGTATCCACATAGGGTGATGATGAAGGTGAGAGAATAACCATCACTCGATAATGCAGTCAGTCATAAAAATCTTGGCTAGCAACTAGAATCTCGTCCGAGCTTTACGCATACTCACTAAACCTTGACGAAATCAATTACCACTGCATTTGTGCATAATATTGAATAAATACAGAATTATTTTGAATAGAACGTAGAAAATTTGCTGGTCACCGTTGCTGTAATTCCAGAGATGTGCCTTCTGAGTGTTATAGTGCTCTTTGCCAAAGTAAATGAAATTATTCTTCATTAAGGAGATTAAAGGAAAGATAGGATTTTGATTCTTTCTTGCAAATGGCGTTTACAAATGCCAAAAATAGTACAATTACGAAAGTCAAACATAGCAGTAATGAGACTACATATGTACAAGATTTATCATTCGTATCGAAGGTAATACGTTATAACGAAACTTCTGTATATTAAAAATTTTTAAATGTTTTCAGGTATTATTTAAACGTTACCACATATCGCATATTCGCATTTACAGTTTACTGTCAAGCTTGTGATGAATATGTGTTAAGGATGCCTCCTGTTGAGGTTCCAAGTTTACCGATTCAGATGTCTCCGAATATTGATGCCCTCGTTCGCGCGTTGTCGAAGACAGATGTGTGGGAAACGCTGAAGAAACTACGAACCGTCTCCAGTTCGGAAAATGCCGCTGCTCAGTGTTACGGCGCCTCATTTGACAAGGTTTATTTGATTAGTTCTCATCTGTAACGTGACCGTTGAAGTTTATGGCTTCAAGCATTTGCTGATTAGATGATTATTTTCATTTCTAGCTTTTCGTGTCTTCTAATTATACAAATTTTTATGCATTTGTTTTCAAAAGCACTTTAGAGGTCGGACATCGTTTTTTTAACTTTGCTTTAAGAGTTCTAGAATGTATCACGCAGCAATTGATTTAATGTTGGATAAGAAATATTTTTTGTATAAATATGCAATGTTAAAAAATCACGTTGTTGCTGGGTGCTTGTAATCTCGAATCTTCCCGAAACCAAGCTCTTGTAATATTTACTTTGTGTTCTCTAATTTCCTGGTTTAGTTTATACCCAGGAAGTAAGATTCGCTGTTGATAAGAATGAAATTTTGAAGTTTAAGATTTATATTATGTAAATAAAAACAAAATGTGTAGTTTATTTATGAATAGTTTTCTCTTGTCTCCTTGTCTGAATATGAGGATGTCTGTGTTCGGCTATGCTTTAACATAGTTTAGCTAATTTTTCATCCAGAATATTTTGGATTGCCTGTTTGATACAAGATAGTTTATGTATAATTTCCTGCCTTGTTCTTAATCTTCGTATACGGAATAGTTTACTATTTTTAATAATTAGAGAATAACTTAAATTCAGGTGAAAGATTTAAGGTAGAGACTTGTCGTTGTCTGCATTGAACAGGTGTCCAAACTAAAAAAATTTTCTTCTAAAGAATTTTGCTTTTCATGTACTTTTTGTTTCAGTCATTTGCGACTGCACTACCTAGTGGATAGCTAATGTTCATTTTATTTTTCCACGTACATGCATTCCGGCAAATCATGATGCTGTGTGACGGAAAAATGTTCGTTGACACTTTCACAAAAACTTATTCTTAAAAAATTTCTGAGCCTTTTCCGATGCCGTCCAGTGAAGACTTGAAGGTGATAGGTGTTCTGATTCTGTCGTTAATGGCATGAGAAACAAGACATCATCATAGAATCATGGCGGATGCCAATGCAGTCAAAACGTGAGAATTTCTGTAAATTTAATTTTTCGTAATTCTTGTGCCGCCAGCCTTAGAGTCATAGGACGTATCACTTTAAACATTCCTTAAGTGCTTCAATTCGGGTTTTTCATTTTAATCACTGGACTCCAATAATTTGATTTCTGTTTTGTTCAGACTTGATTTAGCAGTTTTTTTAACTGATTTAGCAAGCTATGTTTTGGTGTTTTTAAGGAATTCAGGTCATGCTAAAATCTCTGGTTGGCTTTTCCGATATTTCCTCTCGGTTCAATTTATTAAAATGTTTTTTACAGCGGAAAAGAAACCCTGTTCACATTTTTCTGCATTAAATTTTTTTCGGTATCTTTCATAGAATATGGTTTCGAGCTCGTGGGTGGCTGGACAATTACCTGATAGATTTTTTGTATTATAAATTTTTGTTACAAACATTGAAATGTTAGAATGCTTGATGGCGAAGAGCGAAACATCCAGTGAGGTCAAAGAAGCTGTTGCGGGTTCAAAGATTTGCCGGCTTTATGTTAATGGAGAATACAGAAGATAGGGTTTAAAGGTAGGTCTTGGAAAAACACCAAGGTTCCGTGATGGATTGAGACGGACTGCTGATGATTATGTCTCTTGCAGAAGTTGATATTTTTTTGTTTGTTATTTTTTTATTAAAAATAAATATTGTTAGTGCGTAGGCGAAACTTTCGACAAATTTGGTCACATTTTCAGCGTACCTGTCAAATACTGACCTGCAGCCCAATTACAAGAAATATAATTAAATAGTGTGCAATTCGCATTTATGAGTTACTGTTAATTGCTGTTAATAAAATTTTCGAATTTTTTATTGTCTTTCTCGTATAGGCTTTAATTGGATCCCACCAATGACGTTATCAGAATTGTTGATCGCTGATGTGATTGATTGTCT